AAAAAAAAAAAAAAAAAAAAAAAAAAAAAAAAAAAAAAAAATTAAAAATTTAAATGTAGCTCCTCTGAATTAAAAAAAAAAAGGTCAATCTTCCTCCAACTAAAGGCCCATCTTGAAGAGAGCACACAGGTCATACTTCTAAGGCCATCTTGAGGTGAACTAGAAGATTCTTGGTGAAGTGCAAGAACCCTGGAAACCAGCAGCTTTCCTCTTGCTGCTGCTCTTGTTTCTCAGAGGCAGGTTTCATGCCCAGGGTTAGTGAGGCTTCCCTAGACACCACCTCACCGTGGTGAGCACGGCTATCCAGGAGTCTGGGAGGCCTCTGCAAACTGTATCGATTACCAGTGACAGCAATATTGACAACCATACGGTTTGTACTTTAACATTAGATGTTCTCAGCCCATAATAACTTTTTCTTCCTTTTGTTCTTAGAAAGACCATAGGGCCATTCAGCAATGAATGGAGCTGTCCTTAAATTATTAAATGGAGTGCCATAGCCTCCGGGCCAGGTTATTATAAGAAAATTACAATAAGCTAAAAAGCAGTTTTCCAGAGTCCTTATGTACTGCAGGATTCAGTGCAGTAACATGGTCAAGAGCACAGACTCTGGCAGCAGACTGCCGGGGTTCGTGTTCTAGCAATGCCACCTATGGTAGCTACCCCACAGGGCTGCCGCGAGGATCACATGAGTTAATCCATAGCAAGTGCTTGGAAATGTGCCGATTCATGAGCAGAGTCCACGAAATGATCATGTCAACTACCATCATTCGGCCTGCATTTCTTGGCTTGTCACTGAGATCATCTGGAAATGTTTGATTTGGCCTTCTTTGTCACACACATCTCAGTTAGGGCAACCTGTCTTCCAGAAGTTTCTTCTTCGATGAGGAAATTCTCCTTCCTGCCTGTTTGCATATGTGAGGTAAGAACATGGGGTTCCAAGCAGACCAAGAGGGCTTGGGTCCCAGTGACTGCCTCATCTTTACTCAGGAAACCTCCATGGTGTGCACGAAAGCCACTGAGCCGGCAGTTCCGCAGGGAAAACACTGCCAGTCCGTGGCATGTAAACAGAGCACACAGTTTACAGTTCAGAGCATCTACACATTGACTTGCCCTGTACCTAAGCCGTTATTCAATGGGAATAACAGTGTTGTTTGGCTTTCCATGTTACAAAATACTTGACTGATGATTTAAGTATTGCTGTAATCCTTTAGTGTCAGTGGTTAAAGCTATTCCCATTTTTTAAATGAACTAAATGCTGAGAAATTAAAAGCAATTCCTCTTCTTCCACCGCCCATTGGCCACAAAGTCCTGCATGCTGACCACTAAGTCTCTCCCGCATTTCCCTGCTGCACACCCCCCTGTACCTCTCCTCGCCATCTCTTATCAGGCTATGACATCTGCTCATCCTGCACCACTGTGATTCCTACCACCAAATTCATCCGGCCCCTGCTCTCCTGCCACAGTGATTTTATGATGATGTGGGTGGCTGTAGGACAAAGTCCAAAGCTCTTAGGGAGGTACTCAAGGCCGTTTGCAATCTGAACCCAATGTCCTTCATGTCACTGCTCCTGCTGCTGTCGCCCTCTCTATTGCTAGGCTTTGGCCGTGAGATCTCCTTGCTTCCTAACTGTCCACTGCTCTTTTGGGCTTCCCTGGTTTTGAACTTGTTACTCTCTCCACCTGTAGTGTCTTTCTCTATCTTATCTATCTGGAAATTTCAGTCTACCCTTCATGACCCAGGTCAACTGTATGTATGTTCAGGGAACTTTTCTTAACAGCACAAGAGAGTTAGTCCCTCCCAGGCTCCTACATCACTTGGTGTTTGCTTACAACCATAGCATTAATGACACAGTAATGTCAACATTTGTTTATTTGTCTGACTTTTCCAATAGATCATGGAACTCCTTTGGGGAAGGATAATATCCTGGTCATCTTTGTATCTCCAGTGCTTGGCACATAGTAGGGTCTCAATAATCACTGGACGAATGAATGAAAGTAGGAAAGAACAAACAAACAGCAGTGAAGTTCAAACATAAAGCTCTTGGGTTTTAAGTTTATAGTTATTGGTTATTTTATAAATGGAATAAAATGCATTTAAAATAAATAACTAAACCTGTTTGTCATGGGCCCTCTCAAAAGCAGTTTAGGAAGCTGGCTCTAAGAGGAGGTGGAGCTCCAAGGTGATCTTTGAGACCAGGAGGGATAAGTGTCCACCTGTGCACAAATGGCATCACGTCCTCAGCATGTGTCCCAGGGCTGTGGTGGAGACACTGCTATGGTCTACAGTGCCTGGCATGCAGTACGTGCACAATTAACATTCGTGGATTATTGAATAAATAGATACATGAATAAACATAAAAGAGGCTGAATGTAATTCATTATATCCAATATCTAATTTTGAATTCAATTTTAAATCATGGGATTGGGAACAAATGGAAAGTGAAAAATCAGTCTCAGTTCTGTGCACGCTTGGCCCTCCCTTGGTTCACATCTAATCCTCTCTCAATGCCCCCCTGTTGTCAATAACACATATCTGGGTTTTGGGTTGGGGGATACTATGGAAGAAAAGTAGGAGTGCTTTTGCTTCAAGGTTAAAATGGCTACTCTGAAGTCACACCTGGCAATGAAAGCTCTCCCAGGTCTAAGGCACACTCTGTTCTCTGGAACCAGACTCAGAAGTGAAGGGGGTAAGGTCTGTAGTGAAGACACAAGCCCAGCAGCTGTCCCCTGCAGGCTATGGCTCTGACCTCTTGCCCTGCCATCACTCACACTTCCAGTTGTCCCACCGCACAGTATTGACCGGGTCCCCTTCTGCACACCAAGCCCAGCTGCTCCCCCACGCTGCTTCCATACAGTGTCTGAAGCCTTCTTACCAGCCTTTCCCAGGAATGACTTCTTTGCTTATGATTATTCCAAACTTTGAAACATAGTTCAAATATATTTTCATGCCATGATAAAATTCAAAGCTTTAAAGTACATAGTTGTAATTGTAGTGAACCCCAAAGCTCTGAGCCTATTAAAGACAGGGAGCTTTGCTGATTGGGGTGCCTGTTCTCCTGACTCTGATTCCCCCTCATACGTGGATGTGACCCACATACTTCTGTTCCGCTGCCCAGAGTCCAGGTCCTGGGAGCAGGAGACACAAGGACACCACCTGTTCTAACCCCAAAGGACGGTCCTGCAGTTACTTCTCCTGTACCGTTCCAGGCTCTTCAAGATCATCATAAATCTAATTTATAATCTCATATTGACTCAGATTTCCCACATACATGAACTACCAGGTTGTTGAATTATTGAAACAGCATGTTTAGTCTTTAAGTAAATTGTCCAAGTGTCTCAGTCATTTAAGCATCATATAGATCAAATTTTGGTGTGAAAACAAATCATCTGGCAAATACTATTAAAATCCAGATTCAGATTTAGTAGGCCTGGGGTAGGATCCAAGATTTTTAGATGCATTTCTAACTAGCCCCCGGGTGACAACTGTGCTGCTTACTCAAGGCCCTCACTTTGAGGAGTGAGTGTGTGAGTCAGAACCCAAGCTCCCTACCCCCATTAGCAAGACCAGGGTGACTCAGGGCTTCACGAAATTTCCCCAGGAAGTTTAAATTAAAAGGAATATCTTTGAACTTTCAGAAGGAGAGAACAGAACTGAAGTTACCAGAGGTGGAGAAGGGGAAGGAGAAGTAAGGGAAGAATTGGTAAAGGGCCACGAAAACCAATTAAACTGTATAATGTTGAATACACTAATTATGCTGATGTGAATGAGCATCACATATCACACATGGGTATTGATATGCAACTCTGTACCCCACAGATATGTACAATCAACTATGTTTCAATTTTAAAAAATAAAAATTTAAAAAAGGAACATCTTATTAATGACAGAGCAATCCACAAAACTTACTCATCAATCGGCCAGTTTCAGGGTCTCTTTCCATTTTCCAATCTGTGTATATCACTTCACCTTCCTAGAAACATTACAGGTTCCTGATGAGTACAAGGACGACTTAAGAGACAAAAGACCTCACACTCATGTGCTAACACTGGTTCTAACCAAAGCAAATGCAAAGCAACAGGTCAGTTTAATCAAATGATAATTTGATGCAGTGGGGGGAGGAGGAAAGGCTCAAAATGATTACTTGATTTTATATTGAACAAAAAAATGAGTTTGAGGATTTTTTTTTAAATCTACACATAGTGATGTGGAGACCATGGGCAGTTACAAAGATAATCTATGTACAAGGGTCCCAACTGCTGGGTTTCCAAAGTTTTGTTGTTGAGGCATGAGAGAGGAATCAGGTCCATCTTATTTAGTGATTTGTTCTCAGGAGGTTACAAAGTCAGTACTTAAATACTTGTGTAAAAAAGACAGAAAGAGGGAACATGAACACATAAAATGGTGGTGATTACCTTTTAAAGTTGAGAACAGGAAACAAAGTTCAATCCAAATAAAATGACAAGTAACATATATTTTAGTTCTACCTTATGGACATTTTAAGGAGAGGGGAAGGCAGAGGGACCTGGTATAATGATGGAGAAACAGCCACACAAAGGGGAGAGACTTGTGAATTACAGAGGTGGCAGAGGTTTACAGAAAAAGTTTAGTCTCACTAATGCCATCTTAGAGATGAGAAAACTGAGACTCAGAGAGGCTACATGATTTGCTCAGGGTCACCCAGAGGCAGTCTCCTAATTCCAGTGTTTTTTCACTGGATGATGACAGGAAACACAGAGAGGGCATATAAAAAGAGGAGTGAAGAGTACTGGGAGGAGGAGATGGATTGGGGCGTGCAGGAAAGGGACGGGACATGAGAAAATATTTGATTTATGCAAAGTGAAGGATGAACTCATTGGGGACAGAGCCCACTCACTCACTCATCTGTGCTTTTATTCATGCATATGAATTCATTTAACAAGCAAGGACTGTATTTGGTGTTGGGATTGCAAGCCAGAGGACCAGCCTCCCCTCGCTCCCGGCACTCGCATGCAAGGGAGAAGGCACGTGTGCAAGGGCTGCTCTCTGCCACATGTGCACGTGGCCCTCAGGGCTGCCACTTACCGACCACTCAGTCCTTGCCAGAGTTGTGAGGCCCTTTGCATATGTGACCCCCAGCCCTCACCAATGTCCTGTAAGGGAGCTATTAATATCTCCTGGGCCTCACAGCTGGTACATAGAGCACTGAAATCAAACCAAGTCAAAGAGGAATAGTTTGCACCAATTTAACAAATACATGTTGAGAGCCCATTATGTCATCAGTTACCTAGCTGGAAACCTTTACATCCTTCTTCAACCAGATACCTAATTCTGACACTTTCACTTCCCCCGCACCTGTGTTGACGTTCTCGGCCCGGTGCTCAGGCCCTCTCCATTTCTGGGCTGGCCAACTTGAAATCCCTGCCTGCCTGGCTTCTCTGCCTCCAGGGCTCCACTCCCGCCCTCAGGCCATGCCAGTCCATCTAGATCCCAAGATCCCAGAGAGGCCTCCCTTCATCTCTCTATCCAAAAGAGATATCAGCGCATCAAAGTGGGTGGAAGAGCCTCCACTGGCACGTCAGCCCCAGGAGCGCAGGGAATTTGGTCTGTTTTGTTCACTGCTATATCCCCATGGCCGAGAACAGTGGCTGGCGTGTATTAAATGCTCCGTAAGTAGCTGTTGAATGATGAATGAAGGAATTCCAAGCAGGGCGAGGGCTTCACAGGCAGGAAAGAGTGTGTATAAGAGGAAAGAGAGAAAAAGCAGAGTGGCCCAAGAGGTGAGAGGGAGATTGGTGCACACGGGGGTGAGGAGACAGGCAGCAGCCACATTATGTAGAATGTCATAGGCCGTGGTATGAGGAGTTTGGATTTTATCCATATTGCACGGAGTTGCCCCTGAAGAGCTAAAGCAGAGGGCATCATGTTTTAATCGCTGTTTTAAGGTCTTGCAGTTATTTATCTTTCTAAAGCTGATCTGATGGTGCCATTCCTCTGCTTTAAAAACTCTCGTGCCTCAAAAGGTAAATACTGTATGATTCCATTTACATGAGGTACCAAGAATAGTCAAATTTATAGAGACAGAAAGTAGAACAGTGGTTGCCAGGAGCTGGGGGAAGGAGGATAAGGGGAGTTATTGTTTAATGGGTACGGGGTTGCAGTTTGGGGTGATGAAAAGTTCTGCAGATGGACAGTGGTGATGGTCACACAACAGTATGAATGTACTTCATGTCACTGAATTGTAGACTTAACTGTGGTTAGGATGGTAAATCTTATGTATATTTTACCACAATTTTTAAAGGTCTTTTTAAAAAACTTTGCTGTGAAACCCAAGTTATAAAACATATATGCATTTGGTCCCATGCTTACCCAGTGAAATTCCAATTATCTAACGAGGCAGTAAAGGCCTTCAGTACCGGACACCAGCCTGGCACCTAAGCACAGCTTCTCCTCCGCCACGCTACTGCACTACCTCCAGACAAATCCTGGACTTTCCCAGCTCTGAAATATCGCTCAGGCTGTTACTTCTGCTTGGGCCTGTACACTCATCCTGGCCTTTCAGGTTCCTGCTCAACCTCCAACGTGCAGCCTGCTCGCTTCCACCTCCCCCAACCTCCCATTCCTGTGTGAGTGGCCTCTGGACTGGTGGTGGCGTTTACCATGCTGTCAGTGCGGCTGTTCCCTGACTAGCGAGAGGGCGCCTTGAGGACAGGGGACTGTGCTCTTCATCACCCCAGTGTCTAGTGCTGTGCCTGGCAGGCCGGATGCTCTCCAGAGCTGGTGGAATTGATTCATCTCCTCATATACCAAAGTGTGAATGCAAATCACTCTGGTGAGACTGAGTTATGGCATCTTCCCATGGTGGCCTGGCCTGGGAGAAACACCCTTTATTTCAGGAAAGGAGAGTCACGAATGAAAAGAGCATCTCTGCCTCTGTACAACTGTAAAGCTCTGAGCCTCATTTCTTCATGTGTAAAATGGGAATATAATATCCACTTTACAGAATTATTAGGATTAAATGAGATATAATTTGGAAAATAACTTGGCACAGACCCTGATACATAGAAAATGTCCAATAATCGTGAGCTCACTTTGGTTATTATTATAGCAGTTACTGAAAATGGCAGCCTTTATTGTTACTATATCCAATTGTTATCTTTTGAACTGAGTTTTTCACTGTATTTCTTATCAGATTGTGCTACCCTCACAGAAGAATATATTTTCTTAGTAAATCTCTACTATTTAGCATGGTTTCTTCCATATGGTGAAGGTATTTGATGAATATTTGCAGATTGATAAGTAAATCATTAGTAAAAAGCATTCCTAATTTCATAGATTTTTCCACATTTGTTCAGGAACATTAAATGTGAATCTATGAGGCACCAAAGTTAAAAATTTTTAATGCAAATAGACATATTAAAATGAGCATATTAAAATATAAAAATGGTATAAATATTATAAGCTTTCATACAGCAAACATGTACAATAATGGTTAAAATCATGTATTTTAGTGTACTTAAATATTGATTTTAAAAGCAGATAATTTTAATTTACCTCAGTTCCCACAAAGAACTTTGTGCAGAAGTCATCTATTGGCTTGAGATGATTGGCCATCCCACCTTCCAGGTTATGGTACGGGTTCATTTCTCCGGCCTTCATTGCTTTGCTATGTGCTAACATTTTGTCTTTCAGAGGAGTGTGGGCAGAGAAGCACATATTTATGGTGAAAGATTGTTTAAAGTACAGATAGTTTACATTTTCCATCCCTTGCCACCCACATCTGCTCCATTCCATTCCCAATGTGGTGGCATAAGTCCAAGCACTTTTAGACTTCTAATTTAGCAGGAGAACCCTTATTCAAACCAAAACATCAATGACTGTACAATATTTTAGCGATAGCCACACATGCAAACGTGTAAAGATCATAGCTAATCCGGGGGCTGAAATGCAAACATCATCAGGAACTTAAATCTTTTTAAAAGTATTTGATGTCACCTTGTTTTAAAACAAAAGTCTTTTATGATCTAGAATTGATAATGTTATTTATTGAAGTTTTAAAAAATAGAAAAACTGTGAGTAAAAGAACAAAAATCATCCCTCATCATGTCTCTCAGAGATAACCACTCCTAAAATATTGGTCTATTTCCCCCTAGTGACTTTTCTGTGAATACATAGAAACAGACTTTTTAAAAAGTTGGATCATATTCTATTTTAGCCTTGTATTCTGCTTTTCTGTTCTCTGAAAGATATGTTGAGCACTTTCCCAGGTCATCTATTAGTTTTTCAAAAATGTGATATTAAACTTCTGGGAAAGATGGAAGGGAAATATATGCTCATAAAACCCTCCTCATCATACCTCCTTAATATGCCTTCTGGGTTATAACACCCATGGAAATCAAACAAGTATAAAAACCAACAAACCAACAGACAAACAGAAACTAACAGATGTTAGAGGAAAACTTCAACTATACTAAAAATATACACTGCATTTCAAAAAACTTTAGTATAATTCTGGACAAAAATAAAACATGATTATCATGATTTAGTTGATACAGTCAACCAACATTTCCTTTGTTTGGGTTCTACACATTTTAAGAGGTCTCTTTTCACACTAGGTATCAAAATAAGCCAAGTGTCAAAATAACAAGTATCTGTATAAGCCAAACATGAAACTAGACCTTCAAATAGCTGCAAATCAACATTTCAAAAAATAACTAGGCACATTCAATTACACTGCTCTTATTAAAATATATTATTTATAATACATTTAGGAAGAGCAAAAACTTTTTTATCCACTTAATGTATATAGTTTAAATTATTAAAATATTTTAAATTCTTCACCCTCATTTTGATGTCTGTTTTTCTCTTTTTAAATCATGCACATAAATATATTAGTAGAGTAGACCATGTATATAGTTTGTACACAAACATATGTACTTTGGGAATTTGTACTCAAAAATGTTTACTGAGTGGGTGCAAGATCAAAAAATTTGGAGCCCTCTGGTCTAACAAGGAGAGACAAGACCCTGATCTACAGGGCCGCAACTGGTAATGAAAAAGGAAGAAGGAAAGGTGAGCTACATTATAAAGGAAGACACAATTATCCCGAGTAAGAGACTGGAAGTGGGGGCCTCGGGAGAAAGTCAGGGAGCACTCAAGTTATGAATTCTGTTCTGGACACATTGATTTTAAGGGGGTAGATTGGGTTCAAACCCAGGAGACAGTGAGAGGTTAGGAGAGAAAAATGTTAGAGCCATCCAGGTAGACCATGCTACCAAAGGGAAAGTATATAACGAGGAAAGCATACAGCAGAAGTTAAAGTTTGAGATACATTCATGATTAGGGGGCAGCAAGGAGAAATGCAGCCAGGAAAGGAGACAGAGGACGAGAAACTGAAGAAATAGCAGAATAGAAAAAACACATGCAAGAGAAGGTGTGAGCCCCAAGGAAAGGGCTGAGTTAACAGTGTTTAATGTGGTAGAGTCAAACAGGATGATGCCAGAGAAAAGTGTTGTCATCGACTACATTTACTCAGACTTGGCTGGAATAACTTTGGATATTTAGTAAATTCAAAGTCATCCTCAAAGGTTGTGGATTTTCCATCCAAGGAGATAGTAACAGTAACAGCAACTAACATCTATGGAATGCTTACTACGTGCAGGGCACAAAACTGTGTGCTTTACACGAACCACTTCATTCAATCCTCATGATAACTTCCAAGTCAGTTATGCACTAATCTGTCTTCCAAGATGAGTAAACTGAGGCTCAGAGACATTAAGTAATTTGCCCAAGTTCTCATACATGGTGGATAACATTTATTGTGCGTTGATTATGTGCTGTTCTTACAGTTTCACGTATATTAACTCATTATACCTCACACTACCCTATGAGGAAGTTACCTTTATTATTTACTCCCCTTATAATTCTCACTCTATTTTCTTTTCTTTCTTTCTTTTTTTTTTTGAGACTGGCCCGGCCACACCACGCTCAGCCAGTGAGCACAGCGGCCATCCCTATATAGGATCCCAACCCGTGGTGGGAGCGCTGCTGCGCTCCCAGCGCCGCACTCTCCCGAGTGCGCCACAGGCTTGGCCCTTTCTCACTCTATTTTCAAAGAGTATTTTAAAAAATGATAATAAGGCACAGAGGGGCAAGGTAATTTGATCTGCTCAAATAATAAATTGTGGCTTTGGGGTTTAAACCCAGATCATTGACTCTAGAATTCACACTCTTAACCAATATAACACATTGATTAGAAGAATATATGGCAGGCTCTAAAGCCTATTCCAAAAGAGGAATTCCAAGACCGTTTAGAGCAAAGGCTTCCTCATGAGAATAAATATGGAATTTCTTAAAATGACTGCTTAGAAAAGCGCTGACTGTCATGGACCTAAAATGATGGGCAAAGGGTGAGTGGTCTGTGGCCACTAGATGGCGACAGAGTACCAGACACTTATGCTGAGACTGAGCAGGCCTCAAGAGAAAATGGTGGTGGAATAGCAAGGACTTAGGACTCACAGTCCAAGGAGAACCATATGGGATCAAGGATAAACAAAATGTCATCAAGAAGCTTGTGAGTGTATTCTAGCTAACAGGTCCAAGTCTGGCCGAAACAGGTGGACAGCTGGCAGTGTATCCAAAGGAGATCCAAAATACCATCACTGATCTCAAATAAAGGCCATTCACACAGGAGGCAGGACATGGCCATATAATGAGTGCCCTTAGAAATAAGAGGCATGTGTTACCAAGAGCCCGGAGATTAACAAGTGAAATTTAATTCTCTTTAGGACCGCTGAAATTGCCTGCAACACGGACTTCTGGACACATGTAAAGGGACACAGCCAACTAGAATTTCAGCTGAAAATCTAAAACCTCGTCCGTTTTTGTTTTTTGATAAACTGATTTAACCAAATATGAATTTCTCTAAGAAACATCTACAAAATGACTTTGTCTGGAAAGAGAACGTTCATTTGATGAGAGTATTCCTGTTTGATGATATATGGGGCATGCTGCAAGGTTCCTCATTTTAAATAGTGCTTTCCTTAAATGGGTGTAAATATGTATTTGTTACTTATTTTGGTGTCTATCCCATCAGAATGTAAGTTCAACAAAAGCAGGGACTTGTCTTTTTCACAGATGTATCCAGAGTTTAATAATTATTTATTGGATAAGTTCAGGCTCCATATCTATGTATGGAGGTAACAGTGTAACCATTCTTTACGAAAGTAAGAGATCACGATATTTCTATATAATGATTCTAGCCACATTTACTTTTATGCACCTATTCCCAAGTGTTAGCTGTGCCATCAGTAAAATAAAATATAAGGTTTCTTTAAGGAAAAAAAAAAAAAAACGCCTCTATATCCTTAAATAGTACCATATTTAGGCAGTCATCAAAAAGAGATGCCCTAGGAGTCTAACATTTGTAGAGATATGAAGGATCAACAGAAATTACACTCACTTGAAGAATGTTAAACTTTAGATTCATTTGTTTTTTAAAAAGATGTAGCCATATCTCAATGCATTTTTAAAAATACACTTTAGAAGACTTCTGCTTTTGGCCAAGATGAAAGAATTGGGACTGAACTAAAGCTCTGTCACCTAAAACGACCAAAAAACAGACAAAATAGATGAAACAATAATTTTCAAGACACTGGACCTCAGACCACAAAGGACATTGACCCCTATGAGACAGGAGAAAAAAAATGATAGTTTAAAATCTAACTATGTAAATAATGACATTAAACGTAAATGTTCTAAATATCCCAATTAAAAGCCAGAGATGATCAGATTGGACTTAAAAAAAAAAAAAAAGGCAATACCGACAAGAAATACATGTTAAATATAAAGACACAAATAAATGTAAAAGGATAAAAACAAGAAATATCAGTCAAGGGTTCAGATCTGCTTATTGGCCAGCCACCAAAAACAAATTAAAACAACAAAAAAAGACATACCATGTTAACACTAACCAAAGAAAGCTGACATGGCTATAGTAATATAAGACAAAGTAGATTTCAAAGTTAAGAGTATTACCAATTCAAGAGAACACAATAATCCTAGGATTTATCTATCTAATAACAGAGATTCAAAATACAAGATGGAAAAACTGATAGAACTGTAAGAAAAAATAGACAAATCCACATTTATAGTCAGAGGTTCCAATGCCACTCCCTCAACAATTGATAAAACAAGGAGACTGAAAATTAGGAAGGATATAGAAAGTTTAAATAATGCTATCAGCCAACTTGACCTAACAGACATTTATGGAACATTCCATCCAGCCACATGAGACACACATCCTTTTAATGTAAGAATGGAACATTTCCCAAGACAGATCAAGCATTGTCATATAAGTCATATAAAGTATGTTCCCTGATTACAATGGAATTAAATTAGATATCAATAATAGAAAGATCTCTGGAAAACCTCTGAAAATTTGCAAACTAAATGACACACTTCTAAATAACCCATGTGAAAAAGAAGATATCACAAGGAAATATGGAAATTATTTTGAACTAAATGAAAATGAAAATACAACATGTCAAAAGTGTGGGATACGAGGACCAAGATGGCGACGGGTCTGGAGCGGGGGCGCCAGAAGACAGCACAAGCCTGAGAAGTGTGCGCCGTGCTGCTAGAGTGCTATTTGCATTTCCAAGAGCAACAAAAAATGAATAAGTCATTGATCAACTAATCTACAATGATAAAAAAGC